CCCCAAAACCCCAAAACCCCAAAACCCCTGTGTTTAGACAACTTGTTGATAATAAATATATGAAAGAGATAGTTTCATTGAACATCGGAAGAGCAGGTATCCGAGTTGGGGATGAAATCACCCAGACTTTTAAACAAGAGCATGATTACTACCATAATTCTCCAGAGGCTGATTATACAGATGGTTTTTCAACCTTCTTTGGGTATAATGAAGAGGAGAAATCTTACCAGCCCAGATCCTTGTTGATAGACTTCGAGCCAGAGACCCTCGATACTCTAAAAAGGTCAAAGTCAGGCGGAATGTACTCTGAGTCTAACTTTTGAGAGTTTCAGGATGAAGGTAAGCCTAAAATTTATTAAATTTGGTTGAAATCTTGCTATTTTATTGCTAAAATTTAGCTTGGAAAGCAATTGAAGGGCTAGAAATCAGAAAAGTTGTGCTTCTTTGTTTCCAAAGAACTATTTTAATGTAGAATTTTGGTCTTGAAATTAGAGATGTTTGTTAATAGGCGCTATTTAGAGGTGTGAAATTACGCAAGAGGGTATTATACAGTTGGAGAAGAAGTAATTGGTCAATGAATGGATAGAATTCAGAAAATAGCTGAAGATTGTGATTCTTTGCAAGGATTTATGGGTGTAGCTAGCCTTGCAGGAGGCACTGGCTCGGGCTTTGGAGCTCGAGTTTTGGAAGGGGTGAAGGATGAGTTTAAATCAAAGGAGAGGTTGTGGATTCCTATTTTCCCAGAATCATGGCTTCATACATCAGCTATGTCTTCTTATGATTGAGTGCTAGGGAATGAAGCAGTCAGGGAAAATGCTAACATTGTCATTCCATTTGATAGTAGAGTTGATTTAGCAGGTGGTTTGGATGAATGGAAACTGTATGATAAGGAGTTTTGCTCTATTAATAAGAGCATTGCTCAAGTGGTATCTTATATAACTTGAAGCATGAGATTTGGAGAAGGTTTATTCTGAAATTTAAAAGATATCAGCAAAATTTTAATCAATAATTCAGATCTAAAGTACTTATCAGGTGCACACTCTTCGAAAATAGTTAAAGCTGATAAAGAAAATGAGACTAATCCAACAGAAATGCTTCTAAATTGTCTTGAAACTCCTTTTCAAATGATAAAGTGTGATCCAAGAATCCATTTGAAGATACGAAGTTGCGCAATTTTTCGAAATGACGCAACATTGGAAGATATCAATAGCGCAATTGAGATAATTAATGAAAAATCTAATATGTCTCAGGACTGGTTCTCAGATAGCTTCCAATGGTGTCAGAATAAACTAATGCCGATATATAATAACGAAGAAGGGATTCATCAGCAATCAGGATGTCTTACTCTCTCTAATTCAGCCTCAGTGGTAGAGTTATTTGATTATATTGGTGTAAAGTTTGATCATTTATTCTCAGGTATTGTTTTTCTTCCTTCTGCAAATAATTTTTGTAATTTAAATGCCATGACTCTATCTAATTATTCCCTTTACTATTCTCGTTCACTCTCAAATTGTCTTGCTTATGCTTGATCCGAGAAATATGCTAAATAGTTTTGAACAAGAATGGCATATTTGTTTGGGTATTTTTCAAATTAATTAATAGAATTCCAGTGGCTTCTTTATCATGACAACTGATTTAGAGGCTATAGGTAGATATTCAGTAAATTTTAGAGGTGAAAGTATGGGTTAGACATTTTTAAATGAGATTTTTGTGGTTTAGGGCAATTCGAATTGGCTCAGAAAGGGCATCGTTTTCTGCATAGTTTTTGAGTTTTATGTTATTATAGAGAGCATTAAATGTTATTTTCATCATTATCAAGCTGAAGGAATGGAGCTGGAGCAATTTGAGGAAGCAAGAGCTAATCTGAAGGATTTAGAAGTCATGTATGAGCAGATGGAAATTAGTCCGAATTCTTAAATTTTTATAAACGGAATAAATAAAAAAAGTAAGATATAGAGATATCATTTTCAGATTATTTATTGTAGATACTAAAATCAGATATTTATACTCATTTACCCTCAAAAGGGGTTTTGGGGTTTTGGGGTTTTGGGGTTTTGGGG